TTGGAAACGAACAGAGATCATTCTGTCGTTTTTGAGACTGCATCCAAGTACTGCATTTCAGACTCTTCTGTTGACTATGATGGCTGCTCCATTTCTTCTACGGGATTCCTGCCCACAGTAGTAGATATAATGGTCACCTGAGTTAAATTCACCCTTCCAGTCCATCTTAGTTTGTTGATTCCTAGAATGTCGATGTTCACTCTTGCCATCTCCTGTTTGACCACTTCCAATTTGCCTTGATTCACGGACCTAACATTCCAGGATCCTATGCAGTATGGCTGTTTACAGCATCAGACCTTGCTTCTGTCACCATCACATCCACAACTGGGTGTTGTTTTTGCTTTGGCTCCATCCCTTCATTCCTTCTGGAGTTCTCTCTCCAATGATCTCCAGTAGCATGTCCTAGGGAGTTCATCTTTCAGTGTCCTATCTTTTTGCCTTTTCATATTGTTCATGGGGTTCTCAAGGCAAGAGTTATGATTAAAAAGATTTATTGAAAAACTACTCAGCTTCATTATAAATCAAAGAAATTCAAAGTAAAGCAATATCATTTTTCCCTTTAATAGGGAATATTACAAAAGGTTAAGAAATACACATCCAGTGTTTTGCTACTGTTCTGAGCAGTAAGCAGTATCTTTAGTGGCGTTTTTATTGAAGTATTTCTGACTTTATTCACATAAATCCCAGGCTTAAGAATTTTTCTTAAGAAAATCATTCCATAATTGTGCAGAGTTGCAAAGATAGTGTAAAGGAATATTTGCTTTAACATGAGGCATTACTTGGAGTAAAGAAAGCTAAATGACTTAGAAGGGGATTTATTAAATGTGACATCTTCATGTACTGGAATATTCTGTAGCCATCAGAATGATATCAGCCTGCTGTCATGCACATGGAGAGAAGTTCATGATTTTTTTCCCCAAACTTTAGAGTTTTTATTTTGTGTTGGAGTATAACCAGTTAACAATGTTGTAGTGGTTTCAGGTGAACAGCGAAGGGACTCAGCCGTACATACACATGCATCCTTTCTCCCCCAGACTACCCTCCCATCTGGGCTGGCACACACGTTAAACAGAGGTCCATGTACTATAGGTCCTTGCTGGATATCCACTTTGAATATAGCAGTGTGTATGTGACCTTCCCAAGTCCCTCACTGTCCCTTCCCACTGGCAACCATAACTTCCTTTTTCTGAGTCTGTGAGTCTCTATGATTTGTATGTAAATTCATTTGTTTCTTTTTAGATTCCACATATAAGCGATGTCATATGATATTTCTTTCTCTGACTTAACTTCACTCAGTATGACACTGTAGGTCTGTCCACATTGCTGCAAAAGGCATGATTTCATTCTTTTTAATGACTGAGTAATATTTTATTGTATATATGTACCACACAATTTTTTTTAAGTGAAGTGGTGCAGGGAGGTTAGTTTCAACCCACTTTAATTTTTTAAGTAAAAGTGTTTTCTTTATATATAGAAAAATTCTGGTGAGCTAAATTCCACATTTAGCAGTGATTGATTATATTTGCATGATATGTTTATGGGTGAACTGTATATTTTTTTAATAGTTTCCTGGAGTTTCTTATTTTTTCTTACAATGCTTATACATTTCCTTTTTAGTTAAGAATATTAAATATTAAAGCTCTATTATAAAATACATTCATTCTTCTTATAAAATACATTCATTGCTTTTGAATCAGTAACCCCATTCTTAAATAGTATTCTAAGTGATAAAAATGGTAGACAGAAAATCATTTTCAAAAATAGACTCTCCCAGTGTTCCCTGTATCACTATATGGCCCACATCTCCATTGGATTCCCCAAGCTAGAGTGTCAGTTGCTCAGTTGTGTTTGACTCTTTGCGACCCCTTGGACTGTAACCCACCAGCCTCTTCTGTTAATGGAATCCTCCAGGCAAGAATAGTGGAGTGGGTAACCATTCCCTTCTCCAGGGGGATGTTTCTGACCCAGGGATGGAACCCAAGTCTCTTGCATTGCAGGCAGAGTCTTTACCATCTGAGCCACCAGGGAAATCCCAAGCCAAAAGCTAGGCATTATTGTTGCGTCCTCTTACTTATTCTGTACTCCCTTTTCACTGGTGAACATACCTGTCGTTTCTGCTTTTAAAATACTCCAGTGTGCCTGCTTCTGTTTCTGTATCAGTGCAAACTGCCATAACCTTCATCCAGGAAGACTGTCTCAGCCTCCTAATTGGCAGCCCTGCACCTGTCTTTGTTTTATTTTCCTCTGTCCCCAATTACAGTCCATTTGTCACACAACTCCATAGTTTTCCTTTTTAAACAAAACTATTATGTTCCTCCAACCCCCCCCCCCCCAGTGATCCTTAGAAGAAATTCCAAACACCGCCCTATATTTTATAAGACCTTGCATGATGTGACCCCCTGCCCATCTCATTTTTCCTCTTGTAGCATTCTCACCTGTTTGCCTCTTGCTTATTTGGCCACACCAGCTCTTTATATTCTGCAAACACAGAGCTTATTCCTGCCTTATAGCCTTTGTAATTGCTCTTCTTACCCAGTTTTTACATGGACAACTCTATGATATTTAAATCTTTAATTTTGTTTCCTCATCATAGTTTGAAATATCAAGTTGTACACATCACCTTGTTTTTGTTTATTTTCTCACAGTTGTCATCATTCCCAGAAATTTATTTGGTTACTTTGATCATTGTCAGTATTGGCTACTAGAATGTAAACCTTGTGAAAAAATGGGACTCTTATCTGGCATGCTCTCTATAATCCTGAGTCTTGACCTTTGTATGATACATAGTGCATACTAAGTAGATACGGTCAGTGAAATGTATTACATTATTCATAGTGCTCAAGGGAATCCTGAAACTTCACTAGCTGAGGCTGTGTTTCAAAGAGACTTTTAGAGGCTGTGCTTCTTCCACTTGTTTATAGCCCCTCTGCAGTTTTCTCTTGGTTTTGGCTTGAGTGCACTGGTGGCTGACCTGAAAGATGAAGCTGAATAATATACAACCTGCTGTATGCAGAAATACTATATGCCCTGCTGACCTCTGCTTTGTTACTAAATCAGACCTGGTTCCTTTACTGGAAGAGCTGCCCTCTCAGTTCTTCAGCCCACCCACATGTAGTTTTCTTCAGACTTTTTCCCACCCAAGTAGATCTTCCATTCTGCTTCTTTCTCTTGCTCTTCTTTTTTTCACCCTTTTCTCAGTTCAGTTTAGTTGCTCAGTCATGTCCGACTCATTGTGACCCCATGGACTGCAGCACGCCAGGTTTCGCTGTCCGTCACCAACTCCCGGAGCTTACTCAAATTCATGTCCATCAAGTTGGGGATGCCATCCAGCCATCTCATCCTATGCCATCCTCTTCTCCTCCTGCCTTCAATCTTTCCCAGCTTCAGGGTCTTTTCCAGTGAGTCAGTTCTTCGCATCAGGTGGCCAAAATATTGGAGTTTCAGCTTCAGCATCAGTCCTTCCAATGAATATTCAAGACTGATTTCCTTTAGGATGGACTGGTTGGATCTCCTTGCAGTCCAAGGGACTCTCAAGAGTCTTCTCCAACATCACAGTTCAAAAGCATCAATTCTTCAGTGCTCAGCCTTCTTTATGGTCCAACTCTCACATCCATACATGACTACTGGAAAAACCATAGCTTTGACTAGATGGACATTTGTCAGCAAAGAGATGTCTCTGCTTTTTAATACACTGTCTAGGTTTGTCATAGCTTTTGTTCCAGGGAGCAAGCATCTTTTCATTTCATGGCTGCAGTCACCATCTGCAGTGATTTGGAGCCCAAGAAAATAAAGTCTGTCACTGTTTCCTTTGGTTCCCTGTCTGTTTGCCATGAAGTGATAGGACTGGATGCCATAATCTTAGTTTATTGAATATTGAGTTTTAAGCCAGCTTTATTACTCTCCTCTTTCACTTTCATCAAGAGGCCCTTTAGTTCCTCTGCCTTCTGCCATAAGGGTGGTGTCATCTACATATCTGAGGTTATTGATATTTCTCCCAGCAATCTTGATTCCAGCTTGTGCTTCATCCAGCCCAACATTTTGCTTGATGTACTCTGCATATAAATTAAATAATCAGGGTGACAGTATACAACCTTGATGTACTCCTTTCCCAATTTGGAACCAGTCTGTTGTTCCATGTTCATTTCTAACTGTTGCTTTTTGACCTGCATACGGATTTCTCAGGAGGCAGGTAAGGTGGTCTGGTATTCCCATCTTTTTAAGAATTTTCCATAGTCTATTGTGATCCACACAGTCAAAGGCTTTGACATCATCAATAAAGCAAAGTAGATGTTTTTCTGAAATTCTCTTGCTTTTTCTATGATCCAGTAGATGTTGGCAATTTGACCTCTGGTTCCTCTGCCTTTTCTAAATCCAGCTTGAATATCTGAAAGTTCTTGGTTCATGTACTGTTGAAGCCTAACTTGGAGAATTTTGAGCATTACTTTGCTAGCGTGTGAAATGAGTGCAATTGTGCAGTAGTTTGAACATTCTTTGGCATTGTCTTTTCTAAGGACTCCATAAATATATTTGTTAGCCATCCTTGTATATTTTGTTGTTATTTTCCTTTATTCTCAGTGCAAGAGAGACTTACATGTTTCTTTTATTTTAGGATGGGAGAGCTTGTTTGAAACCAGAGTTTCTGAAGAAGAAAATCAGGAAGTAATGAATCAACTCTTAGGTGATGGTCATTTTGACTTTAAGTTGGGAAAAATCTACATAAATGAGGAAACCCTAGAGAATCAACAAGGCAAAGAGAACAGACCTTTGAGGGAAGTCTTAGTTACCATCAAGAAAACATACCTGAAGGACAAGAGCCTTATAGGTATTGACTTTGGGAAAAATCTTGATCTAAAATTATCACTTATTAGAAAACCCAGAATTGTTTCCAGAGGAAGGAAACCTTGTTCACAGCAGTATTCAATTCTATTTAAACAGCTGGGAATCAGCACAGTGCGTAAGTGTTACAAGTGTAATATCTGCGGGAAAATCTTCCTCCACAGCTCTTCCCTGAGTAAACATCAGAGAATCCATACTGGAGAGAAGCTGTATAAATGTAAGGAATGTAGGAAAGCTTTTAGCCAAAGCTCATCTCTAACTCAGCACCTGAGAGTTCATACTGGAGAGAAGCCTTATATATGTAGTGAATGTGGAAAAGCCTTCAGTTTCACTACATCTCTCATTGGACATCAGAGAATGCATACTGGAGAGAGACCCTATAAATGTAATGAATGTGGAAAAACATTTAAAGGTAGTTCATCCCTTAATAATCACCAGCGAATTCATACTGGAGAAAAGCCCTATAAGTGTAATGAATGTGGGAGAACCTTTAGCCAGTGCTCATCTCTTATTCAGCATCATAGAATTCATACTGGAGAGAAACCATATGAATGTAGTCAGTGTGGGAAAGCCTTTACTTCAATATCACGACTAAGTAGACACCACAGAATTCATACTGGAGAGAAACCTTTTAATTGTAATGAGTGTGGAAAGGTGTTTAGTTACCACTCAGCCCTTATTATACATCAGAGAATTCACACTGGTGAGAAACCTTATGCCTGTAAAGAATGCGGGAAAGCCTTCAGCCAAAGCTCAGCTCTTATACAACATCAAAGAATTCATACTGGAGAAAAACCCTACAAATGTAATGAATGTGGGAAAGCTTTCTCCTGGATTTCACGGCTTAATATACACAACAGAATCCATACTGGAGAGAAACCATATAATTGTAAGGAATGTGGAAAAGCTTTCAGTTCCCACTCAGCAGTTAATACTCATCGAAAAATCCATACTGGAGAGAAACCTTATAAATGTAATGACTGTGAAAAAGCTTTCAACCAAAGCTCAGCCCTCATTCAGCACCAGAGAATTCATACTGGAGAGAAACCGTATAATTGTAAAGTATGTGGGAAAGCCTTTAGACAAAGTTCATCCCTTATGACACATATGAGAATTCATACAGGGGAAAAGCCCTATAAATGTAAAGAATGTGGGAAAGCTTTCAGTCAGAGCTCGTCTCTTACAAATCACCAGAGGACTCATATTGGGGAAAAACTGTAAGTTAAATGCATGGGGAAAAAGCCTTCCGACTGAAGTTCATTTCATACAGAATATCTAAGAATTCATTCTGGGGAGAAAGTCATGAGGAGTAGTTAACTGTGCATTAAACTTCAGGATTTAGACCTTGCCAAACAACAGAGGCTTATGGTGCAGGGAAACCTTAGAAACATTGGGAAAGCTTCTACTAAGCGTTTCTTCATACATTCTTACCTTATTACTGACTGTAACGTAGAAACTGTATCACATCAAAGGGTTAGTATTTTATTTTTTTTCTGGTGAAATGTGGTAACAGCCACCAGCTTTCACAGGCATCACTGGGAAGCTTATTGATTAATGGAAAAGTGCAGCCATAGAATCCAGATTTGGATTAGTCTAAGACTGTACATTTTTGAAACTGCATTTGAGTTTCAAAGCCAGTTGTACTAAGAAAAATGTATTAGAGATGAAAGTAAGCAGATGACCTGGAACTACCTCACTGTCAGTAAAATTTGTTTTTGTAAGAATTTAACTTCTGTACTTGATGGTCATTAAAACGTCTGAGTTATTTCTCCCATGCTTCCTAAGCTATTCACCTGAAAAATCACTCTGTAAACTGGTTTAAGTTCTGGGAGTGTTCTCCCTGACTACTTGTTCCAAATTCTGAATCAGATCTAAAGTCACTTTATTTCAAATCACAAAATACATGGTATTTCACTTGTTTTTCTCATAAATTGATTACAAATGTTGTATTATGTTTAGAATTAAAGATAGTTTAGACAACTACTGCTTTTGCAAGTTGATTTACTGATCCGAGTTGTTAAAAACTATGTTGCAATGTAAGCATAGGGAGCATGACTCTTGACCGCCAGGCTGTGTGCCTGCTGCCTTGAGTTCTCTGGTTACCAGCCACCAGGAAGACCCAGGAACACATGGAACTCTGGCTGTCCTCCTGTTAGGTCAAGTGAACAAGGTAGTTTTCACACTTATATTTTACTTTCACCTCCATCAGGTGGTGCTCGCTCCCTTCAACACTCTGAGGACCACTACACAGAAGTTGACACTCTTAAGTTCAGATGCTTTTTCGTCCAAGAAATGGACTGTGTCCTTTAACAAGTTATTGATCCCAGAAACCATTTCTATAATATGAACAGTAATTTGAACAAGATAAAAACAAATCATACTAATTTTGTTGAGCTTCACAGAAGCTAACATCTAGTTTTGTCAATTTTATCAGGAGTAGGCAAGCACTTAAGGACAGGAATACTCATTTCATTGAAAAAAAAAAATGGTTACTTTTTTTCTATTTGCCAAGGTGCTTAAAAAAAAAAAAAAAAAGCTCCAAAAGGGTTAGGAGTGGAGATTGAGTGAAGCAACAAATAGTGAATTGAACTTTGCCTCTTGGGACTAATCAGTCTCATTGTTCCAGACTTATGAGGAACAAGCTCTTCAGGGTCATTTAGTATTCTACTCACAATGTCCTTTTCATAACAACCATTCTTTTAAATTCTCTGATTACCTAAGGGAGATTCCTAGGAAATATATAACTTTCCTAGGAAAGCTAGAGCTTCTTGGTTTGGAGTGCTATACCAAAATACCAGAGACTGGATAGCTTATGAACAGTAGAAATTCATTTCTCGCAGTTATGGCTGGGAAGTCTAAAATCAGGGCATCAACATGGTTGTGCTGTGGTTAAAACACCCTTCCTGACTCATTTCTGGTGCCTTCTCGCCATGTCGGCATGGTGAGGGATCTCTCAGGAGCCTCTTTTGTTAAGGGCACTGATCTATGCATGAGGGAGGTAGCATAGATACCTCACAAGGCTCCACCTCCTAATAACATCACCTTTGGGGTTGAATTTCAACATGTATTTTGAGGGGACACAAACATTCAGACCGTAGCATTCCACAAGTATCAATGTCCTGAAATCATCAAAAAATTAAATAAAATCACACAAAATATGAAGCCTAGTTATTTTTAAGGCAAGGCCTATCAAACTTGCAGGTAACATTGTTTATGTCTTTAGCAGGATCCTTCAGAAGCAATAATCTGTAACCTTGATGATTCTAATATAACCCAGTACCAAAACCAGGCAAGGGTAATACAAGAAAGATTGCAGTCCAGTATCATCCATCAACACGTAAAAATCCTAAACAAAGCATAAGCAGATGGAGCCCAAAAGTACCTAGACATAGTACTAGTTTTACTGATAAGTCACTGGTCATAGCAAACACCCTCTTCCAACAACAAAAGAGAAGACTCTACACATGGACATCACCAGATGGTCAACACCAAAATCAGATTGATTATATTCTTTGCAGCCAAAGATGGAAAAGCTCTATACAGTCAGCAAAAACAACATCAAGAGCTGACTGTGGCTCAGATCATGAACTCCTTATTGCCAAATTCAGACTTAAACTGAAGAAAGTAGGCAAAACCACTAGACCATTCAGGTATAACCTAAGTCAAATCCCTTATGACTATACAGTGGAAGTGTATATATACAGTGGATAGATTAAAGGGACTAGATCTGATAGAGAGCCTGATGAACTATGGATGGAGGTTCGTGACATTGTACAGGAGACAGGGATCAGGACCATCCCCAAGGAAAAGAAATGCAAAAAGGCAAAATGGTTCTCTGAGGAGGCATTACAAATAGTTGTGAAAAGAAGAGAAGCAAAAAGCAAAGGAGAAAGGGAAAGATATTCCCATTTGAATGCAGAGTTCCAAAGAGTAGCCAGGAGAGATAAGAAAGCCTTCCTCAGCGATCAGTGCAAAGAAATAGAGGAAAACAACAGAATGGGAAAGACTAGAGATCACTTCAAGAAAATTAGACATATCAAGGGAACATTTCAGGCAAAGATGGGTTTGATAAAGGACAGAAATGGTATGGACCTAACAGAAGCAGAAGATATTAAGAAGAGGTGGCAAGAATACACAGAAGAACTGTACAAAAAAGATCTTCACGACCCAGATAATCACAATGGTGTGATCACTCACCTAGAGCCAGACATCCTGGAATGTCAAGTCAAGTGGGCCTTAGAAATCATCACTACGAACAAAGCTAGTGGATGTGATGGAATTCCAGTTGAGCTATTTCAAATCCTGAAAGATGATGCTGTGAAAGTGCTACGCTCAATATGCCAGCAAATTTGGAAAACTCAGCAGTGGCCAAAGGACTGGAAAAGGTCAGTTTTCATTCCAATCCCTAAGAAAGGCAATGCCAAAGAATGCTCAAACTACCACACAAGTGCACTCATCTCACACGCTAGTGAAGTAATGCTCAAAATTCTCCAAGCCAGGCTTCAGCAATACGTGAAGCATGAATTTCCAGATGTTCAAGCTGGTTTTAGAAAGGGCAGAGGAACCAGAGATCAAATTGCCAATAACCGCTTGATCATTGAAAAAGCAAGAGAGTTCCAGAAAAACATCTATTTCTGCTTTATTGACTACGCCAAAGCCTTCGACTATGTGGATCACAATAAACTGTGGACAATTCTGAAAGAGATGGGAATACCAGACCACCTGACCTGCCTCTTGAGAAACCTATATGCAGGTCAGGAATCAACAATTAGAACTGGACATGGAACAACAGACTGGTTCCAAATATCAAAAGGAGTATGTCAAGGCTGTATATTGTCACCCTGCTTATTTAACTTATATGCAGAGTACATCATGAGAAATGCTGAGCTGGAAGAAGCACAAGCTGGAGTCAAGATTTCTGGGAGAAATATCAATAACCTCAGATATGCAGATGACACCACCCTTATGGCAGAGAGTGAAGAGGAACTAAAAAGCCTCTTGATGAAAGTGAAAGAAGAGAGTGAAAAAGTTGGCTTAAAGCTTAACATTCAGAAAACTAAGATCATGGCATCTGGTCCCATCACCTCATGGGAAATAGATGGGGAGACAGTGGAAACAGTGTGAGACTTCATTTTTGGGGGCTCTAAAATCACTGTGGATGGTGATTGCAGCCATGAAATTAAAAGACACTCCTTGGAAGGAAAGTTATGACCAACCTAGATAGCATATTAAAAAGCAGAGACATTACTTTGCCAACAAAGGCCCGTCTAGTCAAGGCTATAGTTTTTCCAGTGGTCATGTATGGATGTGAGAGTTGGACTGTGAAGAAAGCTGAGTGCCGAAAAATTGATGCTTTTGAACTGTGGTGTTGGAGAAGACTCTGGAGAGTCCCTTGGACTGCAAGGAGATCCTATCAGTCCATCCTGAAGGAGATCAGTCCTGGGTGTTCATTGGAAGGACTGGTGCTGAAGCTGAAACTCCAGTACTTTGGCCACCTCATGCGAAGAGTTGACTCATTGGAAAAGACCCTGATGCTGGGAAATTGGGGGCAGGAGGAGAAGGGGACGACAGAGGATGAGATGGCTGGATGGCATCACCGACTCGATGGTCATGACGTTGAGTGAACTCCGGGAGTTGGTGATGGACAGAGGGGCCTGGTGTGCTGCAATTCATGGGGTCACAAAGGGTCGGACATGACTGAGCGACTGAACTGAACTGAACTGAACAGGTTATTCATGGAGATGCATGGGTTTTCAACATTAGGAAGCTTACAGATGCTATGTGCCATCTTAATATTAACAGAAATCCATAGGTTTGTCTCAATAGATGCAGAAAAAACCAAAATAGTCAGCACCTACTCATGATTAAAAACTTTAACCAAGCAGCAGTAGGAAGGAAGTTTATAACTAGATAAAAAGGTATTTACCAAAAAACCTGCTGGAAAAAAATGGTAAAATATTAGAAGTATTCATGACATGACAATTATGGGGAAAGAACAGATTACTCAATAATGGTTCTAAGAAGCAGAAATGGTTTATCCACATAGAAAAAAACTGGATGCCTACTCTAACCATATCAAGAGTTATATGCAAGGCAAAACTGACTTTTGGAAGAATATGTAAGCAGTAACTTTATGATCACAAGATAAGGATTTTTTAAACAGGATACAAATAAGCTTTATAAAATGTTTATAATATTTGCTCACATTGAAAAAAGA